GAGAAAAAGAAAAAAGAGGCATTAAAACTTAAGAGGGGCGGTTCTAGATAGGCAGGCCGGGAGGGAAATAGCTCCCCATTTGGTAGGAGTACTAGACAGAACAATCTTATAATTGGATGGGACCTCCAGTTCAGAAATCTCCTGTCTAGTTTATACCATTCCTGGCAGATGACACCTGACCTCTGCGTGGATGATCTTAGTGACGGGAAGCTCACTATGTATCACAAGGCAACTCAATGTTTTCGAATTACTCTGATTTCTTCATCTGTCTCCTGGTGATCCTATTTGCTAGTCTTATTAATAGTTCTGCATCTTTAAGTCAAGGGTGATTCTCCCTAATTTGAATGGAAGTCCTTTAAATGTTTGAAAGCAATTGTCATGTAAAGCTACCATGTCTTCTGTACTGTTAATTTGTTCTGTATGTGACATGGTTTCTGAACTTCTATCAGTCCTATTCGCTCAGATCTAAACAGATTTTTCTTTGTTAAGGTTACTCTTACAATGTAACACAATAGCCATAATAATATAGTAAGCTTTTTTCATTGACAAAACACTTACTCTATGCCAGATACTTCTCTAAAAACTTTACATATATTATCTCATTTAATCTGCAAAATTGGTACCAACAGTTGGTGTTGCTGGATTCCCATGTAGTCGACCGCGGTTTGAGTCCTGGTCCCGGTGGCTTAAATTCATGCCAGGCACGTGTGCATGCGTGTCCAAGATCCCAAGAGGAGAATGGAGGAGAAGGGATTGCAGCATGACCATCCCCCCTGGCAAGTGGTCTCTCGCTTTCTGTCTCTCTGTCTCTCTCTATCTTTCTGGTGAGTGCACGTGCCCTATAGCAAAAACCTCTCAAAAAAAAAAAAAAGAAAAAGAAGTTGAGAGAATTGTGAGATTCTGCAAAATTATCCCCTGAGAAAGGTACTATTTTATAGGTGAGGAAAGAATTTGAGTAACCTGAGATACAGACTTTTTTTTTGGAGAGGTTTTTCGCTATAGGGCGCATGTGCTCACCAGACAGACAGAGAGAGACATAGAGAGAGAAAGTGAGAAATCACCCCCCAGGGGGGATGGTCATGCCGCAATCCCTTCTCCTCCATTCTCCTCTCGGGATCTTGGGCATACACGCACATGCGCCCGGCGTGAGTTTTAAGCCACCGGGTCCGGGATTCGAACTGGGGTCGACTACGTGGGAGTCCAGCGACATAGCCATTACACTAACTGCTGGTTCCCCTGAGACCCAGAATTTAAGGTTAGGTAAAATCAGAATATAAAAGCAAATCCAAATAGTCAGACTTAACTTTGTTTTCCATCCTGACAGATTGCAAAGTAAATGAAACCCCTACTCTTCCCTGAGACCCCTACTCTTCCCCTTTTTTGGATATTCTACTTCTAGCCTTGCAAGCCCTTGATGGCTTCTATTGAGCTTGTGATCAATGAAAATCTCTAGATCTTTTTCACATCATCTGCTGCTAGAATAAGCCTTCCTGATTCTGTGGTCATACAATTGATTTTTTGGACTGAAATTCTGTATTGTACTTTCCTTCTTATTCAGTTTCAGTAGGTTTGCTTTAATGCATGAATAGAGTCTGTTAATTTGCTCTAAATCCTGACTCGGCTATCTCAACTCTGTGTTACTAACAGAACTGATAAGTATGTCTTCTATCACCTCTTCCAGACTGCTGATAAAATTGTGAAACAGGAAAGAGCCAAGGACAATTTTTACTCCTGTGCTGGGGGAGGGATTTGTGTTTGACCACAAGCTGACGTCAACCTGTAAGAGCACGTTAAAACCTTGACTTTGAAACTATTAGGCAAACCTTTGTCTTTACTTCTCTCTAACTCAGAGTTTTTCAACTGACATTTTGGATTGGGGAATTCCTTGTTGTGAGTGGCTCTCCTATATAAGATTTCTTCTTCTCCTCCTCCTCCTCCTTCTCCTCCTCCTCCTCTTCTTTTGTTTAAATAGTTGCCAGAGAGTGTTTGTGCTTGCCAGAAAGACAGAGAGAGAGAGAGGGGTGAGGGAGAAAACACCCCTCAATGGAAGACGGTCATATCCTAATCCCGTCTCTTTCATTTTTCCATCCTGTTGAGATTTGGGGCACACACATGTACTCGGCATGTTTTATAAGTTGCCAGGGCAGGATCTGAACTGTGGTCAGCACTATGGAATCTGGCTTCCCTTAACCACTAACCCATAAGGCCAGTCCATAAGATTTTTTTTTTTTAATTGCAAGAGGACACATGTACTCACAACAGAGAGAAAGAGAAGGTGGAGAACGCACCCCTCGCCAATGGGGCATAGTCATACCACAGTCCCTTCTCCTCATTTCTCATTCCTGTTGGGATTTTAGGCACCCACACACATGCACATAGTGTGTTTTTCAAGCTGTGGAGGCTGTGATTTGAGCCCCGGTTGGCTGTATGTAGTGTGGTGTCGCTAACCACTAGGGCTGGCACTGGAAGGTATTTAATGGCATTCCTAAATTTCACCCACCAGATGCAGCAGTACTGATCCTTCTACCACCAACCAGAAATGTCTCCAGATATTGCCAGATGTTGCTTAGGGGGACAAAATTCTCTTCCTCCCAACTGCCACCCCTGCTCTAACTTCATAAATGAATTAATGAAATAATCAAGTATTTATTAAGAACTTATGATTTACTTAGCACTTGGGAGATTTCTATTAACACAGAAGAAGACATAATCCTTGACCTCAAGAAGATTATACTATGAAATACATGATCAGCCCCACAAAATACCTGGTCAAAAGTCCATTCCCGAGTGACCCAGTATGACCCCCAGACTACATGACCTGCAAGAATTCACAAAACTGAAAAGATCTGTGAGGACAGAGAAGATTGTAATAGTTCAGACTTGATTGAGTTAGGTAGTTTAGATGTGGACAGGCAGGGGGCATTTTTTTCTAAACCAAAAATGTATAGGGATTACCTATACGGCTGTGCATTTTAACATATAGCCAAATCCTCAAAAGGTAGGCATTACCTTCTAGACCAGAAATGACTCACATAATTTGATATATACTTGAATAGCTGGTACAATATTTGAAGTCATACCTCTCCTGGAGAATTCGAGGTATGTGGTCCCAGATGTGAGGATCATGGGTGGGAGGACATTTAGGTAGGGAGAGTAATGTGAACAAAGATGCAAAAGGACAAAAGGGAACAGAAGGATACTGGGGTTCACACTGGGCAGCCTGAGAATTCAGGTTCAGATGGGAGCAGATCACTGAAACCTGGACTGGGAGTTGCGTCTCTGCTGTTTTTGAGCAGAGGAGAGTGAAGGTTTTATCATGTGATAATGGATTCAGTTTGGGGTGAACATGCTAGTGGGTGTCAGAGGTAGTTTGAGCTACTGAGAGCAGGACAAGGTGGGGGGGTGAATGGGCAGAGGAGTAAGAAATGTAACAGGAGAGGCATTTTGGAAGATCAGTTGGAACGATGAGATGAAACAAGTTCCTGGGAAGGTTTTCGGTTTTCGGATATTTAAGACAAGGCTCTGTCTTACTATAGGGCTGAATTTCCCATCTTGGAAACTGGGAAAATGGTGTGGCTGCTGACATTACTCTTTCTTATTTAAAACTCCAAATGTGTTTATTTTCTTAATTAATCACACCATATTCTGATTGCTCTTTCCTTTGGAGTAATAAGATAGATTTTGGGGAACAAGAGCATTTGATCAGAGCCAGGAATGCTAGGTAGGATTTGAGTGGGCAAAAAAATGAAATGGAGGGGAGGTGGGGTGGTTTGGGAGAGAGTCCAATCATAGACCATTGATGTGTTTGCTAAAAATGCATAGCTAGGGACCAGCTGATGGTGTAATGGCTATGTCACTGGACTCCAATGTGGTCGATTGCGATTCGAATCCCGGACCTGGAGGCTTAAACTCACACTGGGCGCGTGTTGTGTGTGCCCAAGATCCCGAGAGGAGAATGGAGGAGAAGGGATTGCATGTGGCCATCTCCCTGGGGTGTGATTTCTTGCTTTCTGTCTCTCTGTCTCTGTCTTTCTGGCAAGCTCACACACCCTATAGCAAAAGCCTCTTTAAAAAACTGCATAGCTATTGATGACAGGAGTAAAGTGTCTGTACCTGGTCAGGGTAGGTGACATTGCAAATGAGGTGAGGAGAGTGGCATCAGGCCCATGCCTCTGGGCCCTTGGCTACCTCTTTAAGAGCCATGGGAGGAAATTTCTTTTGTTAAATCCTATAGAGCCATTGAATTAGTCATTAGTAACAGAGCAAACTCTGTCCCTGGAGGAGGAGGACTCAGGTCTGTGACAACCAGTCTTTGTCTTTCAAGCCTGGAGCTTTTTTTATCATCTGGGTTTCTGGAGAAGATGGCAGGTGGAGCTAGGGGTTCCTGGGGATTTGCCTCTTTTCCTACTAGGTAGTTAATTTTTCTTTTCTTTTTCTCTTTCTCCTCTCTCCCACAATCTCTCTCCATGTCTCTTTCTCTACAATGCAGTCAGGAAGAAGGGGATGAACCTCTGGCACACAGATGTGAGAAACAAATAGCTTTTTTGCCCTAGAATTAATCTGTTCTCTCCCATTCACTTATGGTAGGTCAGAAGCTGATTTATCCTCTGATCTTAAAATGCTCAGTCTGATGGGACTTTTATGAGTGTCTCTCTTTCTACCCCTAACATGATGCAAAAACCAAGTCTTCATAGAATTATAAGCATGTAATAGCAATTTCAGAGACCCTAGGCATGTAGCAAGTGGCATCTGACCTCCAGGAAGCCACTCCTCCACAATGTTCAGGTGAGACTCTCATCGCCAACATGCCTCTCTCTTCCCTGCTGTGTACCCCAGGTCACCAGCTAGGCCCTCAGGAATTGGGAGAGCGAGGTGTAGTAGAAAACTTTTTTTTTTATTTCAAAATGCAAAATGGTGGTCATAATAATAATAATAATAATAATAATAGTAATAATTTAAAAAGCATTTCTCCTCCTTCCTTCCTAGTGTAAAACGGTAGATGCATTCAGATAGCTCAAAGGTCACAGTTTTGGACATGTCATCACCACGCGGAGCTGCACGGCAGCCAAACTCGATGCCAAACTCCTGGATTCCCGTGGTAGGTCAGTTCTGGGTGTTGGTGGCTTCTCCGAAGTAAATCCAAAAGCACACGGGCTCCTGCTGTCTCCCACCTGAGTCAGGCGTGTGCGTGCGCTGTCTCGGGAGCAGAGGCGCGCGCTCTGTCTGTCTGTCTGTCCCTCTCTCCCTCCCATCTGCTGGCCTCCCTCAGTTCTAAGAGGCATGCTGCCGGTTGCACAGCACCCGACTGCAGAGCAGGGTCCCCTCTGGCAGCTTGCCTTTCTCCAGCAGCGCCTGCGTTCGGAGGGCCTGTCGCTCCCGGGCGGCCTGCAGCTCGGCCACTGCGGCCTCCTCCTCCCGCAGACGGCTGCTGGCGGTGAAGGGACTGCACACGGTCTCCACCAGGCCGAGCACCACGCCGAAGAGGGCCAGCACGCTGCCCAGCACGTACAGCTTCACCAGCTTCCCCTTGGGCTTCTGGGTCATGATCTCCCTGGCCAGAGGAATCAGCTCCTGGATAGTTTCCATCTCGGCTCTGTGCGCTCTGGGGGGCTAGGGACCTACAGGAGGAGCGGAGCGGGACAGGCGGACTTTTATCCCCTGAAGGGTGGCTCCCGCTTCCCCGGCGCCCCGCGCTTAGCTTCCTTAGGGAAGGCCTCCCTGGGACCCCGCGCCCAGCCCGGGTCCCCGCAGCCCTCACGGCCCCCTTGGGGCTCACCTTAGTGGCTTAGCGCGAGCAGGAGGCAGCGCAAGCTGGGGTCGGCGGGGGGGGGG